CTAGTCCAAGCTATCATCATCTCTCATCAAATACGGTATTAACCTCCAAATTGGTCATTTTTGCCTCCATACCTGCTTTCCCACAATTTATTGTTCTAACAGCAGGCTGCGTTCTTTAACTAAATTAGATCATCTTATGTTTTTCTTAAACTTATTAATGGATTCCCTCTCCTTCAATAAAAACTAGACTACTCATCATGGTCTAGGGGATTCTATCCCATCTGCTCACAGATAACCTCTATAACATTATTGAAGTTTTCCTTTTAACAACTTGCACTAAACACACTAGTAGTAGCAACATTCTATGAACAGTAAAGCATCTCTAACTTCAAGACCCTTTTGCATATTATCCCCATAGTCTAAAAGCTCTTCCTCCATGTTTGCATGGCTTGCTCCCTCATTTTATTCATGGCTTTATGCAAATGTTTTCATATCAGAGAAGCTCTCTGTGAAAGGCCTAAATAAAGCAGTAAGTACTCGTTACTCTAAATAAATATTTATTGGATAAATTGAAGAATGAAGACTAGATAAGATCTTTAAAGATGTTACTTTTGTCTATTTAGCTTCACTTATGAATTCTAAGAGCCTAGGATGGTTCCTTTCATGTAATGAGCACTCAATAGACATTTGATAAGGGGAAGTGTAAGGATATACAAAGAAAAAATAAGAAGGCACATAGCTGACATTTCAAATTCAGGTAACTGAGATCTCTAACCACTATAAAAAATACGAACATCTTGAAAAGGCTTATTTAGGGGAGGAAGAGAATAAATTTGGTGATTCTATAGTGAAAAAGGTATATCCAAGCAGAGATACCAAGTTAAAAACATAGAATTAAAGTTAAGTACAAAACTAGAAAAGCATAATCAAGATCCACCCATGTTAAATTGAAAGACATTAGAATAGATCAGATCTACAAGAGAAAGTTTGTCAGTTTCCTTTATTTTTGTGGTTTATGTGTTACTTTGATGCTAGGAGCTATGCCACTGGTATTTCAAACACAAGAAAGGTCATTCAAAGCAGATGGCTTTCAGCAGAGCTTTCAACCTCAGACCGACTAAGAAACTAGTGTGTCATTCATTTCTAAAACAATAGGCCTTTGAAAACCATATGGACAATGGAAGAACATTGTTTGATATAGCACTGGAAGATGAGCTTTTCAGGTTGGAAGGCACTCAAAATATGACTTGCGAAGAGCTGTCTCTTTAAGGGGGAACAATTGCAATGATGGAGATGGAATGAAGCTTTCACCCAAAGAAATGCCTTCATTATCTGGGGTGGCAAGAGTTGAACTAAGGAGAAACAGCTACAAACATCCATTAATAATTGGAACATGGAATGCATGAACTCAAATTCTAGGGGGGGAAAAAAGCCCTGGAGATTGAAAAAAATGAATCATAGAGTGATATGCTAGTCATGACTAGTAAGCTGAAATGAACTGGTATTGGCCATTGTGAATCAGTCTTACGATCTACCGTGCCAGGAATGACAAATTAAAGAGGATTGGTGTCACAAAAATAGCATTTGAAGATTTAGCCTGAAGTACAATACTGTGAGTGATATTATCAATATGAATATAAACCTGTTAGTAAAGCTGTTCTTTAAATATTTACATGAACTGTAAAGCCAAAGAAAGTTAGGATATCTACCAACATCAGCAATCTGAAATTGATTAAACACACAGTCACTGTGCACCAATTACTGGTGACTAGAATGCAAAAGTTTGAAACAAAAGAGGATATAGTAGTTGGAAAATATGGCTTTGGTGACAGAAATGAGGCTGGAGATTGTTGTTGTTGTTATGTGCCGTTGAGTCGCTTGCGACTCATAGCGACCCTATGTACAACAGCCCTAAACTCTGCTATGTCCTGTGCCAATCGCACTGTCTCTGACACTCCCATCCCGATTATCCCAGTCACTGAATCAATCCACCTCATCCTTCCCCCCTCCTTCGCCATCCCTCCACCCTCCCAAGCATGATGTCTCTCTCCAAGGACCGGTCTCTCCTCACAACATGTCCAAAGTATGTTAGACAGAGCCTCAGAATCCTTGCCTCCAAGGAGCCACCCGGTTTAACCTTTTCCAGAACGAATCTGTTTGTTTTCTTAGCAGTCCATGGTATTCTCAATACTCTTCTCCAGCACGAGAGCTCAAAGGCATGAATTCTCTTTCTATCCTCCTTGGTCACTGTCCAACTCTCTGATGCATAACAAGTGATTGTGAAGACCATGGCCTGTATCAAACGTACCTTAGTCTCCAGAGAGACTGGAGATTACATGACAGAATTTTATAAGATGACTTATTTCTTCATTGCAAATACTTTTTTAAAGAAAGTGCTAATTTTGATCATACAGAAAGACCTCACATGATGAACAATACAGGAGGAATCACACTGACTATGTCTATAGTAAGAGACATTGGGAAAACTCACTATCAGCAGTCAAAAAAGGCCAGGGCTGACTGTGGAACAGATTATCAATTATTCAAATGTAAGGTAAATTTGAAGGTGAAGAAAACGAAAATGTGTCCACAATAATAAAAACACAACCTTAAATCTACTTCAATTCAATTTTAAAAATATCTCAAGAGTAGAAGTGATGCACTGAACACTTAATGGCCAGAGACCAGAGAAGTTATGGGATAGTATCAAGGACATCATCCATAAAGAAAGCCAGGAAAGAAAGAAATAGCCAAAAAGGATATCAGAAGAGACTCTGAAACTTGCACTAGAACAAAGGGAAGTGAAAAAAAGGGGAGGGAATATTGAAGTTAAAGTGCTGAATAGAAAACGTAAAAAATCAGCTAAAGAAGACAAAGCAAAGTATTGTAATGAAATGTTGAAAGAATGGAGTTAGAAACCCAAAAAGAAAAAAAACACACTAAGCTCCTTTCTTTCTTGAAAGATTCTATGTGTGGGGATTGTATCCATTCTCTATACCTATTTAATCTATATGCTGAGCAAGTCATGAAGCCTGACTCTATGAAGAAGAAAGTGGCATCAGAATTGGAAGAAAACTCATCAATTACCTGCAGTATGCAGGTGACACAACTTCACTTGCTGAAACTGAAGAGAAAGAAGATCAAGGACTACAGCCTTCGGTATGGATTACATATCATAGGACCATAGGACCAACAGTCAACATTAAGATGATAGATAGATAGATAGATAGATAGATAGATAGATAGATAGATAGATGATAGATAGATAGATAGAGGATTAAAGCTATTAATGGTTTCATCTTGCTTATATCAACAATCAGCATCCTTGGTACCAGCAGTCAGGAAATCAGGAGACATCTTGCATTGGGCAAGACTGATGGGGCATCTCCAAAATGCTAAAGAGCAATGAGGGAAGTTTGAAAACCAAGGTGTGCCTGATCCAGGTCTTCAAAGAGGACAGAAGAATGGATTCCTTTGAGTTCTGGTGTTGGAGATAACTAATGAATATTCTATGGATTGCCAAAAGAATAAACAGATACCATTTTTGGTAAGAGAGAGAGATGATAGATGATAGATAGGTAGGTAGATAGATAGATAGATAGATAGATAAGATGATAGGTATTTCCTTTTATTGTGATTTTACGGAAAGCTCACAGAAAATTTGGATTTTCATTTATATATAGATATGTCTTGGAGAAAGCACAGCCAGAATGCTCCTAGGAGGCAAAGATGTCTAAGTTTTGTCTTTCATACTTTGGATATAGTGCTAGGTAAGGATATTCATTCCTTTAAAAGGGACATCATGCTTGGAAATATGGAGATTCAGCAAAGGAGAAGAAGACCCCCTAATGAGATGGATTGACACAGTAACTTCTAGCGTGTCAGAAATTATGACGATAGCACAGGATAGGACAGGATCATGGAATGAAGGACATCACTGCTAATGTCAATATATCTTAGTTGAATGCACACAATACCAGAAAGATATTTATCTTTGTTTTCTTGACTCTGCAGAGTCTGTGTGAATAACTAAGTAATTATGGATGAAATTGATATGACTGTGATCCCAGAGCACTTTATAGTACTTAGTTGAAACCTATATATAGACCAAGAAGCAGTTATCTAAAAAGAACAAGAGAACACTCCACGGTTTAAAGACAGGAAAGATGTGCTAAAGGGCTGTATCCATTGTAATATCTATTCAATCTGTATGCTTAGCAAATCATTCCAGAAGCTGGCCTATATGAAAAAGAATGTGGCATCAGTATTGGAGGACAATACAGTAACACCCTGCATAATGGTGACTGGAAGAGATTCATACTTATTCCCATTTAAAAAAAAGGTGTCCCTACAGAGTGTGGAAATTATCAAACAATATCCTTTCTATCACATATAAGCAAAATGCTGCTGCTGATTATCCAAAAATGACAGGAACAACATATTGACATAGAACTACCAGAAATACAAGCTGGGTTTAGAAGAGGTAGTGACACTAGAGACATTATCATCAAAGTCAGATAAATTTTGGCTGAAAGCAAACAGAACCAGAAGAATGTCTATCTGTGTTTCATTGATTATGCAAAAGCATTTGACTGCATGGATTACAACAAATTTTGGTTAACCTTGAGGAGAATGGGAATCCCAGAGCACTGGATTGTGTTGTGAAACCTATGCTTGGACCAGGAAGTAGTCCTCAGAACAGAGCAAGGAAACACTAAATGAATGATTCAAAATCAGGAAAGGAGTGTGTCAGGGATGTGTCCTGTCTCCATCCATCTTCAATATATATGCGGAAAAAACCATTCTGGAGTGTTGGTATCAGGATTGGAGGAAGACTCATTAACAACCTATGTTATGCAGATGAAATAACTTTGCTTGCTAAAACTGAGGAAGACCTGAAGTGCTGCTGCAAAAGGTCAAGAACTGTAGTCTTTGATATGGATTGAAGCTCAACATCAAGAAGACAAATATTCTCACTACTGGGTAAATTGGCAGCACTTTAATAGATGGAGAAGAAGAGCCAGAGACGAGAGTAGAGGCCGAACTCGGGATCTGACAAGATGGCCGGGCTGCCCCGCAGGATTATCAAGGAAATCCAGCGTTTGCTGGCAGAACCTGTTCCCGGGATTAAAGCAGAACTAGATGAGAGCAACACTCATTATTTTCATGTGGTCATTGCTGGCCCCCAGGATTCCCCCTTTGAGGGAGGGACTTTTAAACTTGAACTATTCCTTCCAGAAGAATACCCAATGGCAGCTCCTAAAGTACGTTTCACGACCAAAATTTATCAGCCTAATGTAGACAAGTTGGGAAGAATATGTTTAGATATTTTGAAAGATAAGTGGTCCCCAGCACCGCAGATCCGCACAGTTCTGCTTTCGATCCAGGCTTTGTTAAGTGCTCCCAATCCAGATGATCCATTAGCAAACGA